TTCAGCTTTCCTTAAGGCTTGCGTTGTCCTGTTTGCAATTGGCTAAAAAGGAAAAAAAATATATATATAATAAGTCCACAGATTTATGTTAAGCTGTGAAATCCTTATAATCAAGTGATGATAAACTTATTCTTTGTAAATTAGTAATGTTAGTGAAATTAAAGAGAGACGCCCAAGCTGCCGACGAGTCAGGTATGTTTTCGCCTGTCCCGATATGAGAGTTGCCTTCACCAATATGGCGGCGACGTTGACGTGCAGTCGAGCGGCCAATGAGGCGTCTAGGTATTTATTAAGTCTATGGTCTGGAATTCAGCGTCAAAATCACACGACTGTCGATACAGTACGTCACACGGTAAGTCCTGCAGACTCAAACAGCACAATCTTCTGCACAGTTTTTAGTTAAAAAAAGTTATTTGAGGCCAGTGTTGCTTGTAAACTTATTTTAGCCAAGCTTTGCTTATATTGTGTTTTTGAAAGTATGACTGTAGTTGCATTTCAGCAGTCAAGTTATTAAGTGGTTAACGTGACCAGATTACATGATCATAGCAAGACCACTTTGTTTCTTCTTAGTAGACTGTCATCCAGACTAAAATTATATTAAGTTTTTGTTGATAGATAATGCTATCCACAGTACTATCATTAAATGGTCTCATAAATTGTTACTACATAGGCTAAGTAGATTACATCTGCTTTTGTTTGCAATATTTAATCATTTCTATCAATTAAAATTTATTTAAAAATTGATTTTAATATAATATTATGTATTTTTATGTTTTTATATATAATATAATGTTGTTGTTTTAATCAGATTTTTGTTTTTGGAACTAGACACAAAAAAACTGTTTTACAATCCACAGTTAACCTGTGCAGAAGTAACAATGGATTCACATTGTGTGGGTGAAATTGATGGACTGACCTTCTGTCTGGCCAAACCAGAGGATTACGATGACGTGATGGCCATATCACAAGACATATATGGTGGCAACGATTACCTTCCTCATCGCTATCACTCCTGGATGACTGAGCCAGGAAGAGTGGTTATTATAGCACGGAGAGGTAGGAAGCTGGTAAGAGATACAAGAGTGAAAAGGTTTGACAGATCTCATGTGTTTTCTGATTTTAGTTTTAAACTCAGCCAGAAGCTATGAGGAAATATGAATTGTCTTTGTTTAACTGCAAGATTGTGTTACATTTATTTTTCAGTGCTATCTTGATTTTAGCAAGTAGACACACACTTTGTCATAAACATATTATATTATGTAGGATGTTTAAGAAATTAACAATAATGCTTGTTTAATTGGTAATATAAACTTGCATGCTATCGAGGCACATGTAAAACATTTGAAATGTTAATATTACATTAACATTTAACATCTACATGTTTTATAATTAATGGGCTACTCAAATCACTAACTCTTATAAGAAAAAGTTAACTGGTAAAATAAGTTATGATGTGTCTATTGAGAAATGCCATGCTTGCAGTTCTCAGAAAGACAACATTTTAACTTGGCTGAAATGAACCACATCAATGAGTGTATTCTCTGCTGTGCACATAATTGATTGACTCATGAGTCATGACCCATATACTTGAATGCAGTATCTGACATTTATACCACTGGACAGTTTCGCTCTTCATATACTCACAGTCTAGGGTGGTAAATAAGACCAGCATCATTGTTGTTTGTTACTATCATTTCACTAGTATTATATTGTACTGTTGCACACTAGTGAACCCCTACTGGCTGCCCTAAAGCACCATTAAGCTACTAGGGGCACTTTTGCACATTGGCTTTTGTAACTAGCATATTGAATATTAAGAAAAACAGACCACTTTTACTCTTATTGTTAACTAACAGTACTTCATAAATAGTATTTTAATATACTATACTATTAATCTCAGAGATGAAGGACAATTGATTCCTCATGATTTGATATATGAGGCAATGTTTTTAGTCAGTTTAGCTTCCAGACAATATGCTATGCTGCTTGATGTTGCAAACTGGTATTTGTTGTCATATTATTTCAATTTGCTATCGCAATCATAAACACACTAGTATTTTACTATTTTGCAATAATTATTCCTGTGTGCCTTTAGGTAGCTCTGGAGTCAGGCCTGGTGGTTGATGGAGGTGAAACTGTAATAGTTGAGGGATTAAGAGTGTGTCCAAAGGAAAGGGGCTGTGGTCTGGCTGGAGTGATCCAGAAATTTGTTGATGGCTACATAAAGAACGTCTACCCTAATGTGAAGACCAAGCGCCTTACCAGAGGAGATGACCCAGGGCCCGAAAAACTGCGCAAGTTCACACTTCTGGCCAGACGGGTGAGTTAAAACTCGAAAAGTGAGTTCTATACATGAACATTATTTAATGTATTATGAAACAAACATTAATTAACAATAAGCAATAGTATATTTATAAATGACCACTACCCTAAATAAATAACTTTTTCATTGTTAGGTCATGATACCCAATTTATTAACAAATGCAAGCAAATCGAATCTTATTGCAAAATATTAAATACATAAAATGGAAAACGTGTTGTAGCAATCATACTTTCATCATATTTTTCTTTTAATATGTTCTAAATAAGCTGCAAAAGAAAGTTTAAACTTCAATATTCATTTAAAAATGTTTGGAAATCAAAATACTGTGTAATCTGCATTTTGTATCTCTTCTTACTTTATATTGTTATTTTTGATAGTTGTTTTAAATTAATTATGCACTCCATTAATGTTTATTCTTTTTTCTTGACTCCTTCTCACTACCCTTTGATCCATACCACTAATAGTAATAGTAATGCCACTAATATTAACAGTAATATTTATCTCCGTTTTCTCTTTCTGTCCAGGCCGTTCTCTCTCTACGGGGGGATTCTGAAGGTTTTAATAGCTTTGTCTCAGGTCTGAAGGAAAAACTGGTTGTGTCAGATGAGTCCAACAGCAGCCGTCCTTTAGTGCCAGTAAAGGACTTGGATGCTCTTAAGGCCTTTCTATTTGATTCCGATTTGTCATCCAGACTTCAGCTTCCAGGGGGCGCTATCATCCAGGACTGGCAGCCCTTTAAACTCATGGAGAGTAACCTTGACATCTTGGCAAGGCGAAACCTAACATGGTTTGTAGATGGTTCCGGTGGGAAACCCCTGTTCATGAGCTTCCACACACCTCCCTATCCTATTCCGTATAACGGAGGGTCTCTACGCTTTAATATAGACCTGTATGGGACGGAGACTTCTTTAGCAAAGAAGGCACTAACAACTCATCTGAACAGTGTGAAAAGTGAGATTCAAGGCTTGGTTTTGGTTTATATTTATGTGCATCAGACTCTATGGAAAGATTTAAAGCGGTTTTGTGAGGGCCATGACACAGTGAAGCAGTTCCAGAATTTCTGGGAGCAGCTGCTTTTGGAAAAAGAGCTATAATGACATCTAAAGAGGATAGAGAGGAAAAAAAGATGCCAGCGATAAAGAAAGATTAAATTTTTTGGTGATTGAAGTTGTATTAGCCAAAAATTGAGTTGTCAACTTTGCTTAAACTATTTGTTCAACAAATTAAATCAGTTTAAGATACTGTACAACAATATTGTAGCACTTTTGTAATTTGTGTCTGAGTGAAACAAGGCACAGTGAAACAAACTCTGTGAACTCATTACTTAATAGATGTTGATGTCAGAAACATGAAGCATGTATTTATTCCTCCATGCCTCATGAGTACAGGATGATTTATGAATAGAAAGTTTGAAATGAAAAGCACTTTAAACTGATTGTTTTAAGAATTTAATGTTTAATAAAATAAAATAAAAGGATGGCTTTTTATCAATGCTGAAAACAGTTGTGTTGGTTAATATATTTGTAGAAACAGTGCGCCGTAAAAAAAAAAAAAAAAGCTCCTGCAATTAGTTATAACAAGTTAACAACATACAATTTGTTGATGACTTTAATGTCAAACTTAACAAAACTAAAGGTAATGAAACCTTAATTAACTACAACTAATTTTAATCAAGCACGAAGACTTTTTTTAAAGTTAAAACAATGCATTACTTATTCTAATGTTTAATTTTATTTTGTGATAGTCACATTTGATTGAATTTGAATTGAATTAATTTCTTAAACTGACCACAAACTTGGTAGTGTATGTGTGTTTATATATATATATATATATATATATATTAGGGAAAATCTTTTTTTGTTAACTAATTATCCTGGCATAACAGAGAGCACAAATAAACCATAATTAATATTAGGGCTGGTAAGCGATTAACATTTTTAATCTAATTAATTACATGATGTGGCGATTAATTAATCTAATTAATCGCAAATTAATCACACATCAAATTTGGCTGAGAAATTACTCCCAAAAGAGTCATTGTTGTGTAAAGCATCAAAAAGACATTACAAAAAGTAGCTT